GTGCTGGCCCGGGCCTGGACAAGTCTCTGTGACGCGCGGGCTCTGCTTCCCTCTCAGCAGTCAGGGCTGGCCCGGGGCTTCGGCCCTGCCCCGCACTTGGGGCGACGGGGAGCCCTCCTGCCTCCTCTGGCCGGGGCGCAGGGTGGGGCAAAGGGGCAGGGGAGAGGGAAGGGCCCGCCGGGGGGAGGGGGGAGCGCCAGGGCCACGCGGACAGGGCGGAGGCTCCTCAGAGCCGGGGCGGCCGGGCAGCCGTGGACCGGCCCTCCGCAGGCCCCCTGCTCTGCGGCCCTCGGCCCGGCCTCCCCTCTGCCCCGGTGGGAGCTGGGCCGCTGCGGTCTGCTGGCCGCACGCAGACCTGGCAATGGCCCGCGGCGCTCACCCTCCCTCCCTCAGTCACAGGCCTCCCTGGCAGCTGCTGAAGACCCCCGCGGCGCCGCGGCCGTGGCCTGCCCGCCCTGGTTTGCTCTCTCCAGTGCCGCTGGCTGAGCCTGCCCGTCCCTGCCGGGGGGAGGAGCTGGAAGAGAACTCCGCTGGAGGCCCAGCGGGGAGGCCGAGGCCCCGGGCCCCAGGACGACGTCCACACGCAGGTGGGAGCTGTCCGAGCCAGCGACCCGGTCTCTAGCGGCTGGTCTGGTTTTCCCCTCCTGAATGAAATTTAGAAGCAGCAGGCGTCCCTAGTCGGGCTGACTGGACAGTCACGCCATGGTGTGTCCTCTCCCTGCAGGCAGCGTGCCCGCTCCCCTCCGACCTAAGGCGGCTCAGGCGCGGTGAGGACCACGCTGTGGGCTCGGCCTGCGCTCTGCCCTCCGGACCCGGAGCCTCTGCGGCTCTCGGTGGCCGGCGCCTGCCCTGGCCAGGGGTCCGAGGCCCGCACGTGGCCGGCGAGTGAAGTGAGACGCCGGCCCTGGGCCCCCTCCCCAGGGGGTTCCACCACAGCACCCCCCCTTCCAGCGTCGAGACCCCCCTGAGTAGGCGCACAGAGTGCGGGGTGACCCTCCTGGAGTTCAAATCTGCCTCAGCTTCTTTTTCCTTCGGCTCTTGGCTCCAGTCTCGGGGTCCTCCGCCCGCCCGGGCAGGGTGCTGGCCCCGGCCCACGCCGGGTCGCTGCCGCCTCCCTCAGAGGCGTTTCCCGCAGACCCCGCGGGCGGGGAGAAGCCCTGGCCGGCCCACAGCCTTGGCCTCCTGCAGCACAGCTGCCCTCCGGCGCCGGTGCTGCCGGCCGCTTCTCCTCCCTCGCGGGCGTCCAGCAACAGCCCGCCGGCGGGCGGCCGAGAGCTGCCTTCCGCTTCTGCCTCTGGAGCGCGCGAGTCGGCAGTAACCGTCCAGCCTCCCCTTCCCAGTTTTTCTTGGTGGCCTCGTTGGGCTGTAGAGTTCTCTCCAGCTTACGTGGCCTGGTGCAAGCTCATCGGCCTGTCTGCGAGCACCACGCCCACCTCTCCACTGTCGCTCACGGAGTTTTTAAGGACGGTTTCCGCCGGGCGGCTCCTGGGATGCTGCTTCTGTCCGCGTTTCCGTGAGCTTCCTCGGAGCTCGGTCAGCCTCGCTGATCTTTCTTGTCGGACACTGAGGTGACCCGTAAGCCCAGGCTGAGCCCGGCGGGCGGGGCCCGGCCCTGCCCTCGGCACCTGCCGGGACGGCTGGCGGGAGGCCCCGCTTCAGGGCCCGCCCGGGCCTGTGCTCCCCACACCAGCCCTGCTTAGCCTCTGTGGATGGGGGTGCTCTGCCCCGGTGTGTTCCAGCCCCGCCCCGTCTCCACGCCCCCAGGGCCCGGAGTCCGAGCGGCGGGCTGGCTTCTTGCGCCCTCTCGCCTGGCAGGATGTCAGTCTGTTTGCATTCTTGCCGAGACTTGCCCCCTCCACCAGGTTCTGTCTTCATGGGTCACTGGAATGGCATCGGGGGAAGCAGGCGTAAAGACGCCGGCCCTTGTCTTTCCAGAGGTTTGTTGTGAAAAAGGCCAGAAGTGGTGATTTTGGATCTGCCGGCTTGGAGGGGCGAGGGAGGGGGTGACCTGGAGATGTTTCAGGCAAGCTGCCAGCAAGCCGTGGGGGCGGCCTCTGAGGGTGGGATGGGAGGGCAGCCAGAGCAGAACAGGCCCCCCAGAACAGGCTGGGGTGGTGCTGAGGGCCCCCGTTGCCAGCCGCGGAGCCAGCCCCGGGGGAGAGGGCGGAGGCAGCCTGTCCCCCCGCCGCAGGGCTCGGGGGAGCGTGGGCCCTGGCGTAAGCCATAGCGCCCGAGCAGGGTCCAGCAAGATGGGCTCCTTGTCTTCATTGCCGGGACTCAGCTGCGGGGGGCGGGAGGGGGCTGACCGCCTGCCCGGCGATGCCGGGGCCACGGAGCAGGGAGAGGTGCTCCCGTCTCGCCCGCCCTCAGCCGTCCCGCGGTGTCCTCATCGTGTTGGTGCTTCTGCCACGAGCCTGAGTCTTGCCGCTGTCTCTCCTGTGTCGAGTGAGCGGGTCCGTGGCCCTTCGCCGCCGCCGTGGTGTACTGGGCTTAGGGCCCATCGCCCTTGCCAACAACCTGGACCGGCGGTACCACCCTTTACACACGTTGACTCTGGCTGGTTTCTGTTTGCAATTCCCGCTCAGCTCTCCCCGGGGTTGCTGTCTGTGTATTCTCAGGGTGTTTTTTGTCTGTTTAAAGGTTTATTGTTACTTATATATATAAGAACTAGGGTGTAGGCCAGAGGGGTGGGGGTGAAAGCACTCACCAGAGACAGTGGGGAGAGAACAGGAGGTGTGCCTGAAGTGCACTGCTGAGGGGGGCCGCGCCCTGGGGGCCCCTCCCCGGCCGGGGATGGGCCCCGTGTGCAGTGGCTGCAGACAGCTTCCTAGCGCTGCGCCCCAGCTCCGGTGCCACCAGGGCGGGCCCTTGAAGGGTGTTCGCTGTCTAGCTCTGCACCTGGAGCTGGTGTCCCTGAACGCGTCCGAGGTGTTTCCCTCTCTTGTTTGTGGGGCGACTCGGCCGCTGGCGGTGATCGTCCTCACCTGTCTGGGAGAAGTGCCCCGGGGAGCCCCTGGTTCTGGGCTTTCCTCGGTTGGAGGATGTTTGACCAGTCTCCCCACGTCACGCAGCTGATGCAGTCTGTCGGCCCGGCTGTGCACCGTCGTCCTTCATACTCCTGGAGTTCTGTGGCGGGTTGAAAACTACCCACTTTCGGTTCTGATTATTTGTGCCTTCTCTTTGTTCTTATTTATTTGAAGTCTGAGCAAAACATTTGTCAATTTTCTTGATCTTTTCAAAGAGTCAACTTTGGGTTTCATTGATTTTTCTCTATTGTTCATCTCTGCTCTAATCTTTATTATTTCCTTCCTCTGCTAGCTTTGGCTTTAGTGTGTTTTTCTCTTCTGAGTTCCTTGTCTTCCTACAGCTCCTTGCCTGCCACGTCCCGCCCACCCCCGGGGTTGCTGTGAGGGTCACAGACAATAGGCCACACGAGCCCGCACACTGGCCGGGGTCCTTCCATGACACGGGTCAGGGTCGTGTCTCAGCGAACATGCGCACCTTGCTCGATAGAGACAACAGCTGCGGGTTGGCCATGTGGGCTTCTCCTTCCGCTGCAAAGCCAAGGGGCCCCCTAGGCCTGTTGTAGACACTGTGTGCCAGGATGTGCAGTCAGCCCCAGAGGCCGACGCGGACATTCGGGACACGGCGCGCAGGTGCGAAGGAACAGTGGTGGCACGTGACAGGCTTGACTTCGCCTCCGGGCCTCTGTGCCAGGAGCAATGCCTGCTGGTGCCGCCCGTGTGCGGGCCTCAGCCCAGCCGCCCTCGCGAGAGGCCTGCTCACGTGTGTCCCCACCACGTGGGGGGAACCAAGCCATGTCAAGTATAAAATGAAAAATGAGAACCAAGCGCCTGGGAAGGTGACAGAACAGAGGAATGATCACGGCCAGAGAATCAATTCCGCCTCTGGAAAATCAGTTCTGGAAGTTTCTTCTGGAGAAGATGATAGCCTATTCCCACAGATGAAAAACCAGGCGATAAAAATTAAACAACTCTTGTAGGAAATAACGCAGCCC